GACTTGACCCCCAAGTCTTCTGACGTCCAGACCACTATTTTTCCGGTTAGATTTTGCCTTCTACCTTCACTGACATCAACCTCAGAGCAAAAAGCACAGGCTGGGGGGGGGGGTGGGGCGTGTATGCAATATTTTAAGCGGTGGTTCTTCTTTGGGGATGATTCTCCCCTCTCCTTGGGGACATTTGACGATGTTTGGCGTCATTTTTGGCGGTCAAAACTTGATGGGGGGTCGCTACTGGCATCTAGTAGGTGGAGGTCAGGGAAGCCGCTAACCAGCCCACCGTGCACAGGGCAGCCCGCCAGGAAAGATTTATCCCGCCCGGATGCCAATAGCATCAAGGTTGCAAGACTCTGGTCTAAACAGTCCTAAGAGTCACGGACAAAGACAGCCAGTACCGAGACAGCGCAGTGTCATCTTGAACTTCCGCCCCCGGAAGACACAATTATTTGCATGACAGGCATGGCGAAGGCAGGCACGTTGTTGGTTGGTGGCTGATAGAGGGACACTATGAAGTACCGTCACCCCCGCTCTATCAATACTGGGAGGCTTTTCCGCAGGGGACGAGGGCACAGGGACGGCTTGGGTGGTAGGAGACCAAGCCCGGAGGGCTGCCTGAAAGAGGATACGGAACATGCGGGAGGATCGGGCCTCTGCTACAGGCTCTCTTCCCCCGTTTCTCTTGAACACGCGAAGCCGTTTCAGGAACAGTAGGGAAGCAGGCAGGACATTCAGTCCACATCATGGAGTGCGTAAGAGGCGTAACTTCGGTTTTTCACAACTGGGCTTAGTTTCTTAAAAAATTTCTTAAACCTGTTTATTTATTTTTGAGAGACAGAGCACCAGCTGGGGAGGGGCAGAGGGAGAGGGAGACACAGAATCCGAGGCAGGCTCCAGGGTCTGAGCCGTCCGCACAGAGCCCGACGCGGGGCTCGAACCCATGAACCGTGAGACCATGACCTGAGCCGAAGTCGGATGCTCACCCGACTGAGCCACCCGGGTGCCCCACGACTGGGCTTAATTTCTGTTTCAAGTCCCCGTTCTGCTGGGCGGGAGACGCTGAACCACAGTTAATCGGAGTCTGCCCACCGCTTGTTCTGGGTTGTGTCCGTATCTCTTTTCCTGGTGAAGGGAGCTCACAGAGTTCCAAGCCCCGGGCAGGGGCCCGCGGCAACCTGGCCTTCTCTGGCACCTGCTGCGATGGCCTCATTTCCGTCTTCTGGGTGGCCGACGTGCCCTCCCAGCCTCCTGGAAGCCCTCTCTTCGCCCAGCTTCTCCATCCATCTTTCTTCTCTCGGCCTCTTCGCAGGCCCACGGGAGACATTGGCAGGGCCTGTCACAGGCCCTGTCACTCTGAGGGCACAGGCGTCTCGGCCCCTCTGCCAACCACTCCATGACCATCCCCTCCCACGCCATACGGGGTGAGAGACACCTGGGCTCCCCCCCCCAACCCACACCCACTCTCACAGCTGGCACAGGGCCATCGCTCCT